GGAAAGATTAAGAAGGATTAAATTTTATGAAATGACTGAAAGTTATCTAAAGAATAAGAAAATACTATATTTTAAATATAATTATATATCTTTTATCTCTTTACTTTGTTCACATTTATGGAAAGATAAATGCTCGATTCTTTATATCTCTTTATTTAAATATTGTAGTTCTTTAACTAAAGCACTATTTTCGGCTGTAACTGGAATTAAAGGATAGATTATGACGTCCGTGTTTCGCTCGAGCGGAAAGCGTTTCTAAACTATGATGCAGCGACGTGTAGCGATAGCTGCTCGTGACGTCATTTACGCTGCACTCTCGCTGCATAAAGAAACGCAGCCCTACTGAAAACCTTACCGTACACGCCACCTAGCGGGACCGACCGCCTCCCATTGGACGACATTATTTTTAAAACCTAACCCCAAAAAAACCTTATTACATGTATTTTGAATAAATAAAGTTTTTTCATATAAACATATTATAAACATACATAAAAATTATAAATGGCGATTTTATTTTCTATATAATAAAATAAAATATAATAATAAAAATATAAATTATGACGTTGTGTATAACAGTACAGTATTTGTTAATTCACCGCCATAAGAACAGAAGCTATCTTAATGAAGTATTGAATAATATATTGCTTTTAGCCTTTATGTTGTTTTATTTGTTCTTATTATTATGTTAAATGTTGTTTTATTTTTCTTAGTCGCCAAACTTTTTTAACCGTCGACCCCCAACCACTTTCCAAAGCCTCACATTGACCCCACCGTAAAGTTTTATTACAAGTGTATGTGTATGAGGAAAAAAACGTTATGGTCTCTGTATAAGCAAAAAAGAAAAAAAAAAGGTTGTGACCCCTAGCCGCATCGACCCCTGAGGGTCGATATGGACCACTTTGGCGACCCCTGGTCTATATCAATTAAACAAATATACTTGAGGGCTTAACACACCGGTGAACTAGAATTAAGCCATACAAACTATAAATTTATATAAAATTAAATTGTAACATTATATAAATAATAAAAATATACATTAAAGCCATGTTAAAATGACACGTTCACAATTATTTTGGATGGCATCTACAATTATAATGTATTCAAGAACAATCACTTTCTTTTCTTAGCCACTGGGAATACTAAATATAATTTACAAATAATTACTATTTCTATAATTAATGTTATAAATGTAAAGTGATGGATATGTACTACAGTACTGTACTTACAAAGTCACTTTATTTGAACTGGCTGAACCAACACACACAGATACTCAGCTACAACCACTAATTTGTATATTTATACCTTCCTCACGTGTCACTCATTATTTCATTCATTTTTAATTTATTTTTGTATTTATCAATGTAATCGTACCAACCTGCATCTAATTTTATTCCTAAATTGTCATTGATTCTTTTTTCCGTTTTAATTTTTAATATTTCTGTATGTTCATAGTATTTTCTTTTTTTAGTATTAGTTTCGTATTTTATCGCCTTTATTGAATCTTTCACTATTTCACAACCTTTAGAATTACAATGTATAAACCACATTGTTTATTTTCAACTTTGTCTACTTGGACAAAATCATGAATACACGGATAAGTTAGGCTACATTTCTTCGAACATACAGCAAAAAATCACCAATGCCCAGAATCTAAATAAGACCACATTAATGATGTAGATAGAGTATTAAAAATAACAAAAAATAATAAAAGATTTTTAAAATCATATTTTAATGATACAGGGCGAGTCAAAAGTCTCTTAAATACCCTTATAAAATCGGACAGAATTGTTGGCACGATAAAAACACGTCGTGCCTAAAGAAGTAACATGTTTCTATCACGTTAACATATCTACGGTGTCATATTCCAAGAAGAGGATTTTTGTTAATGGTGATAAAACGATTTAATTTCAATCCTCATTCTTTCTTTCGGTCCGAGATCAAATATATATAAAAGGCAAACTTAAAATTTGAAACAGAAAATCAAACAGAACCCCGAGTCGGTTAATAAGATGTCAGTCTATAGCTCCGGGGAACCGGAAAATCGCACATAAAGAATTCCTGGTGATCAACTCCCCAAGAATTTTCATCGGTGATTCATTCCTCACCGGGTGGTGAGGGAGGGGAATCTCATTACGGGCCTGGACGAACTCACGATGTATATAGGAAAAAGGGCAAGTTCGCGCCTAAAGAGTGGAGTGTCAAAAATGAAAACAAAAAAGGTAAAGTAAATTTACTTATGAAAATTTTGATGAAATTATTAAAATGGGGAAATCAATGAAAACTAAATGGAATTCAATCAGATCAGTGATCTTGCAAGAAGTGCATATTTCTGAGCTTTCAGAATGGATTGTTGACACTGTTCCTTGCGTATAAATTTACAGTCTTGAAACTGTCCTTCTTGCCTAGGAAAACCATGAGTGCCGTCTGCGTAAGTTATCAATCCTAAAATAAAAAAAGATTTTTTTTTCTTTTTAAATTAAAAATTATTTAAAAATAATTATAAATTTCAAAATAAATCATAAATTTTAAACCTTTTCCCGAAATTTTTCCTCCGCGAAATTCTCCTTCAAATCTCATGCCATCGCTTCTCCAAAATATTCCAAATCCGTGAAACCATCCTTGCAGAAATTCTCCTTCATATCTATAGGAAAGTTTATTGTGAAATTTAATTATTTAAAAGATTAATTCTTAATATTTGGCGAGTAAATAAGTTTTCACAAGTTAGTATTTGTCTCTATGTGCTTACAGTATATAATTTTTCTAGCTGTATTTACTGTACGTGTTTACAATATCTTCATAATAAAAACAATCAATGCAACTTGTAACTAAAAATGCAACTTGCAAGTAGGAGCGTATGATAGAGAGCAACTCCAGAAATGTTTTAAGAGGTAATCCATTCGAATATGTCGACCCTGTCTCTGACTACCCGGCTAACCCATAACGAGCTTTCTAAAAAAAATATCCTCTTAACGTCCATGGTGCGGAAAGAAGTTTTTAAAAATATTATAACAGACCCTTTCAATTCATCAAATAATGAGACACATTAAAATGTGAGGCCTTAAGCTATGGACTCGTAACGCGAAGTCCTAAGCAGGTCCGGATTTGAGGCGATTGGAGCGATTGGAGCGATTTGCGCCAATCGGGCCCCGCGCTTGAAGGGGCCCTGCAGGACATCAAAATTTATATTTAAAAATAGTTTCAAATTACAGAATAAATTAAACAGTTTAGCGATCAAGTCGATTGAGAGTCAAGAAGCAAGCCAGTTGGATATTGATATTATTTTAGAAGATTTTACAGAACAAAAACTTCGGAATATATAAAATATCTCTTTATAGGTTTATATTCAATAAAATGTAGTTGTATTTATATTTGGTACAGGTTTTTTAATGTAGAAATTTGTCTACCTTATGGTTCATGACTTGATTTTTATAATTAGATTTTGGATTTTGTTTTAAATAAATATTTAAAATCTGTAAATTAACTGTTAATTAATTTTGTTATTTAAAGTTTTGAGGGGCCCGCAAAAAAATTCAATCGGGCCTCGTACCTATTGCATCCGGCCCTGGTCCTAAGCCGCAACTTGTTTAGTTTATACACAGACCCCGCCTTGATAATTGTTCAAGGGGAGGTCTGTGTCCTATAGTGAACTATGTGATGATGATCACAAGTAGTGTTTATTACTAGTATTATTTTTTAATAAGAAGTAATGTAAATGACTAATTTAACAGTATCGTGTTATAATTTTTACTTTATTTATTTATTATTAAGCTACAGTTTTTAAATTGCAGACTTATACCTTCACACTATAGTCTATCTAGCGGCCGGATGACAGCCCACCGCTCTGGGGGACCCGGAATCGAATCCAGACGGCTCGAATAATCCCCAGAATTTTTTCGGGGGTGGTCCGTCCGGATATGTCGGGCCCCGTCCCTCACCACCCGGCAGCCCCATTGTGGGCCTGGCCGAACCCATAATGGGCTTGCAAAAAGAGGCCCTCTTAGTGCCCACAGAACGGAAAGATTTTTTAAAAAAAAAGATAGGTATGGAAAGCTTGGGATGGGAGGCCCAATTAACTACATACCTGAACCGGAAGTCACGTGGTTTTTTAAAAAAATTAAAATATCATTAAAAATTGCAGCCTGAGATCGTGACGACGTCACAATAAATAATTGTCCGTAACATATATCCTAATATAATCTTGGACGAGACGAATACATTACCTAGCACCGTCGGCAAATCTCATAACGCCCAATCCCGATGGAAATCCATTTTCGAAATGTCCAACGTATACCGTACCGATTGGAAATTTCATGTATCCAATTCCTTCTCTTTTACCCTCATTTTTCCATTCCCCAATGCATTCGGTACCATCTTCGTACGTATATTTAGAAACTTCATCATCACCCTCTTCTGTAAAATGGAATTTTTAATACAATAATTTAAAATTTACGTTAAAATATTTTAAAAAAATTACCTCTCATTTCCAAATTATCGGTTTTTTCAACTTCCATTGTCTTGGGATTTGGATGTATTCTTTCAACGAATATGAATATCGTCCACGCGACTAAACTACACTTGTTAGGCTTCTTTAATTAGATTTCTTGCAAGAGCATCATATTGTGCTTTTTTTAACGGTTAATACGCCATTTAAAATCATTTAATCTCAGCTTTTGTTCCGGTGAGGGGGCCAAAATTTCTGGGATTTTGAAATTGTCCAAATTCGATCCCAAGACCCTCAGAAAGGTAGACCGACCCCTTATCGCCTTAACTTAAATACTCACGTCTATTGTGATTCAAAGAATGAGAAATCAACTCATTACATGTTTTAAAATTTACAAGAGCCTTTATTCTCAGATAAAATACTTCTTTGAAAGAAGACAACTGAGTTTCGAAGCAAAAATATGTAAACAGTATGGTATACAGTATGGTGTACATACAGGTACATACGAATAATAATTTTTCTATAATTTAAATATTAGCATAACTTAATGATACACTATATTACAAATGTCTTAATATAATTAATTTGTAGTGTTAATAACAATCATTTCCTTAAAACTTACATATAAGAAAGTATGTCATTTAAACCAACAGTAATAATTTATTCAGGATTTTAATAGGTGATGAAGAGAAGGACCCCCTAAATATATACAATTTCAATTTTTAATAATAATTATTTTTTTTTCGATTTAAATAAATCTATGCTAATTCATACATGATGACAACGAATGTAATTACGACGCCTAAAATATTTAGTAAACAACTTCTGTTGATGCCAAAAGTTCCAAAACCGCTAATTTTGGGAGGATCCGTTATAATTTTCCAATACCACAACCCAATTCTCGATCTGAGATGATCCTTGCCATGACATTCCTGAGAGCTGGCAATTTTGTAAATAACGGGACTCATTTCTTGAGCTTCCATAGTTATGGAAGAACTTGACATAAACACATCGATGAATGCTATAATAATCATCAAAAAGTCTACAAAATATTGAATACAGTAACAGGGATCGCTGCAGAAATTTACAGCTTTGCATATATAATTACCATCGTAAATGATTTGCAGCGCTAAGGACATGGATAATAGAAACAGTAAGGGAGACATAACTAAATCGATGAGCCCTACGACATCGCATAAGTCCATGTATCGGTCCATGCTGAGTAGTAATTTTTGTCTTCCAGGATCTCTGTTCCAGCTGGAAGATATTTGAGAGACCGAACACTTGAGAGAAGTAAATTCGAAAGACACGAAACGGCATATGGAAGAGAAGTAGAAACACATGAGTTTCTCACCCGCTTTGAACGTTAGCGCGAAACTTAATTCTATGAATATAGCGATACCGTAGGCTATGACTTTGGGGAATATATTTGGGTCCAATCCAAAGAGTTTAAACTCGTAATAATTATTCAACCCACCTTTCAAGAAATCCCATACGATATAGAAAGTGCAGGATATACAGAAGAGCCAAAACATCATCATGCGAAATTTATCTCTTAAACTAACTCTATAATCCGCAAATTCTAGAAAATTATGATTACTTATATTCGAGAACGAATGGTTCAATCGGTGCACAAACAGGTTCATTTTATAGTGAGATAACAATACAATGGAGGCGATAATCAAGTATATGATGTTGCTAATTGCGATCCAAAAAGATTCTTTAAAATATATTAATTTCGAAGTGAAAATAATCATATAAATAATGTAAATGTGCATATAGATGAAGATCAGCTTGGACCAAACGGACTGGCATAAATTGCCATTCATATAAAATCCCCATATTTTCATGGTTGCGATGACAGGTTTCAACTTTTTCTTCCATAGGTTACTCCTGTCGTATGGGATCAGGATCAGTTCGTCTTCGTTAAAACATTCGCTTGCCATTTTTTTTCTTTTTGTTGAGTCTGTAAATGAATTTCTAATTTGGAAGAGTGATTAAAGATTAATTGTAAATTTTAAATTAATTAATTAATATATTTTTTATTTTTGTAAAAAAACTTACGGTTCAGTTCAAGTTCAGAAAAATATATCGATTATAAGAAATTGGAGTGCAGGACGAAAGTACTACATGTATAAAATGTACGAAATACTATCCATGGTATGTGCGCATTGTACGAAATGACATCTGTTAAATGAATAATCATCTCGGAAATATTTTTTCCTTTTATTTGTAGAACGTCATTATCTCTGGTTTAGTTTTATATCAATTTTATACTGTAATGAATTTTAAAACCAGTGAAAATTTCAAATTATCTTAAAATTTCGTTTTTTTTTTTTTAGTTTTTTTTCCACCCCGTGAGTACTACGAGGGCCCTTTTTTTCATACCCATCGTGGGTTCGTCCAGACCCACAATGGGGCGGCTGCAGCTATACTTATCCATTGATAAATTTCCTTAGGCACAATTCAATCGCGGATGTCCCAGAGGGGTAGCCTTTGTCGTCCCGGAACCTGCCAAAACTTTGAATTTAAGAATGTTAAAATATCATCATTTTAATAAGTTGATTTATTTTAAAATTTACACTTAATCTTTTTAAATTTCCTCGATTAAAAGTTAAAATCGGATTTTAATGCAGATATTGAACTTGTGGTATATAATTAGTAAATGTATGTTTTGATAGTCAAAAAATACAGTATCAAAGTACTCAATGATATTTTCCATTACTGTATATGCTTTGTAAAATGCACCCCTTGAAAGTCTGCTACCCCACGATGGGCGGCCGAATGACCCAGGTGAATTAGGCATCAGCCAGTGGGGATCGTTGGTGGAGTTGATACAGAATCAACTCCAGGCCAACGATCCCCACAATTTTTTGGAGGTGTTTGTCCCCCTACCATTCAGTCACCCCATTGTGGGCCTGGCCAAACCACAGTGGGTACTGGAAAAAGGCTCTTAGTGGGAATAGCAAAAAACCAAAATTATTAAGATAATTTTTCAATTATAGATTTGCTGAATGAAAGCTTGTCCATCACAGTTTGGGTTGCCCGGACCTCTTCAGGTTTGATCTGGAGACCCAGTTTCAAAGCCTATGAATTCTACGTTTAATTATGATTTCTCAGCGTTTGGAATTGTATTACATAATTTAATAGTTATTCGAATTTTTTTATTAATTTTTAAAATATTTGGTTAAGAAATTTATTTGACAGATCTATTGGGTTAAAACTGTTTGGAGATCAATAAGAAAAATACTTTAGCATTATTTATGTTATAGAAGTATAGGTTAACTTATCCTTTATGTCTTATTTGTTATGGAAACAAACAAAAGGGTCCAAAAAGTAAGTACAAACATTAATTTAGCAGTCTCGGGAACTACTTATAAGAACAGTGTAAAACTGTAACATACAAGCAGAAATTTGTGTGTTTTACACAACAGAACAATTGAAAAACAAAAATTTAATCTAAATTGTCAAATTAAAAGCAACAAGTTTTAAGCATTTATCGTATACTGTATCTTTTTGCACAGAAAATGATTAATATGCCACATGGTTGGTGGTTGCCTCCTGCATTTGCACATACTTTACAGCTATTGTTATGTTGATTATAATGTTGTTTATTAGTTCTGTCAGGAGAAAAGTCAATTCCTGAACAATAGCATCTTGAAGTTCCTAGTGTGTTCTTGATGGAGGCTGATGGAATGAAATTAATCTCTTAGGCAAACTTTGTGGGAAATAGGCTGTTATCACAATGAAATATAGCTGGAGGACCACATTTAAAAATTATACATGTGTTTTATTACTTTAGTTATTGATATTCTTCAGTTTGGGATTGGTTTTCATACTGCTTACACCTTTATTGGGACCTACTAGTAACAATCGTTGCATCTAAGTGTCTCAATCCAAGTGGTAGAATGACAGAAAGAGTTTGATTCTTTAATATATAGTTTGATTCTGTTGTGCATTTTGCCATTGTTGAGTATTTTTGACTGTTGGTAGATTTGTCAAAGCAAACAATGCTTATCTTCCAGTAAATATTGATGTTACATAAACTGTATTTCATGATAAGACCTTTACAATAAAGGCTTGTACCCTAATGGAAAAAATTTTACTGTGTCTATTGCCTAGAGTGTTTAGAGAAGTTGTGCACCAAGTCCTTGTTTTCTGTAGTAATGTATATACAGTAATATAAAGTTTAGTGGGGTTTTAGAATTGATATCAGAAAATTGTGACTTAAGCAATTGATTTAGTTTTTTTGCGATGTACTGTCAGTAAAGGTTCTTCCGGGATGTGTATTTTATATTCCAGCTGATTAAGTTGGATATAGTTGATTGTGCACCATTGGAGAATGTTGATAATGGGTATTTATAGATGGGAAGATTTAGCCATAGTTGATAGTGAAATAATCAATAAGGGAGGGGTGTCATGAAGAAAGACTGGCCCTCCAGGAAACAAGTATACAGACAAAGAGGAGAGATAGCAAGAAATAAAGAACCATCTCTGCACAGCAGATGTGATCTGCCAAGAAGGAATGCCTCAAAGGAGGACTTTCTCTGGAAACTGGCTCCTATTTAGGAGTTAGACATGTGAATAAAACCCAGAAAACACATGACCAATCCACTGATCAGGTGCAAACCCATGATCATTTACCAGTTTTAGTGGTTTAATCCATTCAGCTACTGATGGATGAAAAAATAAGGAAAAGTGGCAAACTTATGTATGACCACTGCATAAACTGTAGAAACAATGTGCTCCGGAAGTGATGGGGACATGAAGAGATAGCCAAGAGAGAACAAGCAAGGTCAAGACAGAAACAATGATCCCAAAAGACTTTAACTCCTTTTTCTCCTCACAAAAGGAGCACTCGTTTATCTCCCAGACAAAAAGAGAGTGGGTCCAAGTTTTGTGGAATAGCAAGCAGAATGTACTAACGACAACTAGATTCAGAACAATAACATACTATACTCATATATATATTCTAAAATTTCACTAATAATGATAAAGTAGCCTAACAATGAAGATGATTCACAGCAATTGTGATAGTTTAATAGTAAAATGATTCATTACCATATAAAAGTTTTTGTATTTGTTTAATAAATAAATTCACTATTGTACAAATATAAAGGAATACAATTATATGAAATGTATTACCAGTAACAAGTTCAGCACCCATAAAATTATTTTTACATTTCAAAAAAATTAAATAAACATACACCTTAAAACAACTTCTTGTAAATGATATTCATTTGATCTTCTCTTCTTTGATTAAATTTTGATATTCATTACATTCATCTTTCCAATGTAAAGCAATTCAAATTCTTTTTTCATATCTAAATTAAAAGATAACAATAATTTGAGCAATTTGTTTGAAAAAATTCTTCAAAAAATATAATCTTATGTATAGTAATGACTGAGAACTGGGTTAATATTAATATTAAACCCACTCACCAAACCAGAAATACAACAGTACAATGTTTATTTAATAAAAACAAATGTTTTTGACAAATTTTCTCCTTTACATGGAGATCATTACTTCATTATCATATAAACCTATTGTGACATCGTTGATCACATGTCAGAAGTAATCAATAATATCATAGTACATTTAGTTTTTTTAAACTCTATTCTATCTTCTGAATTACTTTTCAACCTGAAGACGATAACTTAAGTTTGTTGAAAATGTCCGTTTTTATGAGTGTTTTTAATACAGTTTTATTTAACATAAATAAAAATGTCATTATTTTAAGAAGAGATAGTTTCAGTTTTTTAGAAAAAACAAATGTAATAATATTAATAACTAATTTGTAAATATATTTATAAATACATTTTGAGTTTTATTATTATTAAAAACATTATATTTAACAATTTAAGTAAGTAATCTTTAATTCTGTAATTTATAAAGATAAGCTAAGTTTATTGTTTGATATGACATATATTAAAAGTTTACATACTTTGCGAAATTTGCCTTGTATGAAAATTCGTGACAACGAAATATTTTCTTTTTTATTTACAGTCTCCTTTTTTACGTATTTGTTATATATTACTTCAAAATTTGCAGCTTCAAACAATTTTGCTAGATATTCTATATTTAAAATGGTAAAAATAAAAATAAATAGTTTATTCTATTATTGTTATTATTCTATATTCTATCNTTTATTCGTTGCTATTTTTATTTTGAATTGACAATGTGGATTGAAAATGCCTTTTAGTTAATAGGAATATTTGACTTATGACATAAAAATTGGGTGTTTTGTAATCGATTTGGTTACCGAATTAATCGAATAGCAATGAATATCCAGTTTTATTCCCCGATTGTTATTCTGTCGAACAATCGGGGTCAGTTTCTGGAAATCAAAAAACTACCACAAAATGGGTGTCGCCTTGACGTGGCTTTGTGGCTTAATGTGTGAAAATTTTATCGAAGTTCTAAAGATAAAATTTTCCACAGACAAAGTACACCCGACAGAAATTTCACAAGTATTTTAATAAGTATTATTTTGTTCGGAAACAAAAATACATCATACTTCTCATACACCAAATTCACTGGGAAGGAAGGCAAATAGCCGATTAATGTCTATTGTGCACATAGAATATAACGGAAGAAGACATGATTAAACTGACTGGTAATCTTGAGGTACAGAGCATTCAACGTGTTGTATTTTTCTTGAAATTACTCGCCATGTTTCGTAATTTTTGTTGGGTAATAGCAAAAACATACCTAACCTGGCTAGATTTTTATATAGAGAATACGGCTTTTTAGGCCATGTGAAAATATTCGTTTAAATTATAAAAGCTGTTTTCTGAAAGTATACAGCTTGTCGCGTGAGATGCGTATAAAATTTTGGTGTGAAATGGCCTTTATAGGTGAATATATTTTGATATCTAAATTTATCGAAGTGTCCGTTTTCTAAGAAATTTCTTTAGATACTAATTTAAAAATATAATTTCGTATTTTATATGACTAAATTGGCCTGTTATGATTCTTTATACAGGGTGGGGCATAACGGAGTCTCGCATTTACGACGTGAANTACTAGTATACAAAATAAATTATAAATTGTGTAAAAAAGGACAAAAAGGCATAATAATTGATAAAGAACTATTTAAAAAAAACATAAATTAGTTTTGATTAAAGCAGATAAACTGCATCAAATTTTTATAGTGGAGAAACTATGACTGTACACCATATTTTATATAGGTTTTATTAATTTTTGGTATAGTTTCCTTCTTTCTTCCTTCTATTGTTTTTCTCTTCCAGAAAATTCTTTCTCAACCCTTTCTTCTTGGGTGGTGGTGACTAACCCCCTTGAACAAAAGAAGGAAGGAAGCCCGAGGCTTAACAGAAAGACAAGGGACATTCTTTGCTGAGACGTTGCAAGGATCGGATGGAAAGGTGATGCTCTCTATATCGTCTTAGCAGCGAATGAAGACACAAAGAAGTCAAGACAAGAATCAACAGCAGATCTGGTTGATAAAAGAATCATCATAAGGACTTCAGAACAACATCAATGTGAGTTAAGAGAAATCAATAATTCGCCCATCATTCAGAAAAAGAAGATTTTGGAACTATCACCACCCCCAAGACTACCATTGTAGGCTGGGTACCCACTTTTACCTATCATTATTTCTATCATTCTCCCCCTATACCAGTGTCTTCTGTCTTCAGGTTAAGTTAGTTTTAAGTGATAAGTTGTAATTTGCATACATTAACTGTATAAAACTGAAAGTTCATTTATTTCGTGATGGTTGTACTGATATCTGTTCATTCTATTAAGGCTGTACTACTCTTATTGCAAAACTGTAAGTGGGGACTGAGTGGAGTTGGTATCCCAACAAACTGTTTTATTTCACACAAAATAAAGGTTTCATTTTGTTAATGTATCCTCGTAGCTCTCATTTCACTTATATCTTCACAAAACAATGGAAGATGACAAAAAATATGAAATAATATCACAAAGAATTTGAGGAAATGACGGAAGATTCCAAGGAAAAAATTTTAAAATGTTCACATTATATCACCTTCAAAGTATTCCCTTCAGCTTTTATTACAATGCCCAAACTGTTTTTTCTAATCTTCAAAGGCAATGTGATATGCAGATACACGAATTTTCTACAGTTTTTCTTTTGATTGCTTTTCTTTTGATTTCACTTCTACTTCCTTTTGTGTCTTGAAATGCTGCCCCTTTAGTGCCTCTACAGTTTCTCTGTTCTTTAATGTCACACATTTTAAAACCAAAAATCACAAAAACTAATGCAATTGTTAATCAACTGTTACTTGAATAGTAATGGATGAATCACTACAAAACCTAAACAATCTATATAAAGAAGTTGACAGTGCTTCTTCACAATGCCAAAGATTGATTCTAACAAGCTCTGTGGTTCAAGTTCCCACACTTTTTGATTACACCTTGTATAAGGAACTGTATGCATGCATTAAAAAAGAAGAAAAAGTAAATTTCAAATTATAATACTATATACAGGGTAATTCTGAAATAGTGGGGATGATTCCTCACAGGAGAATAAAGAAAATAAAAGGCATATAAACATTTTTTTGAAAAATCAAATTTCTTATGATAGTGTTAGGTACAAAATAGATTTTATTGCATACTCACTCTTATATAACTCTCAATTATGTAGCTTCCTTCATTGGAAATGTTCAAAATACCCTACACTTATGAAGATGTCATGAATGTTGCTCTTTTGAGGGTTTCAGTCTCTTGAGAATGGTGGTGCAGGTGTCAACGATGTGTCACAGCAGTATACCTGCATTGTCATTGGAAGCATACTCTAGAATCTTTGGTTGGTCCTGCAGATAAAAATCTAAAAGATTTAAATTAGGGGAAACATAGAGGTCATACCAGAAAACAACTATACCTATCCACCTGTACAGATAGGTATGGTTTAGTACAATATGCATGCATGTGCATATTGACTAACATTAGTTAATGTATGTCACTTTAGTCAAGAGTTATTTAAAAGTATTAATAAGAGAGTTATGTAATAAAATCTGTCTTGCATCTGACACTGTTATAAGAGATTTGATTTCTCAAAAATCTCTCATTTCTAGACATATGTTTGTATGCCTTTTTTTGGATTATTTCTCATAATGAAATGTAATATAAATGGCACAATGCTTTGTTTACATCTTTACGTCTCAGCAAATAAAAAAAAAAAGAATTAAACAAATATAAAGAGTCTTTTGTGTCATTTATATTACACTTTATTGTGAGAAATAATCCAATAAGAAGATTGACATGGTTTCATATAAAGAAGATGCATTTTTTTCCCTTTATTTTCCTGTGAGGATTCCTGAAGTTTGTCCCCCTATTTCAGAATCACTTTGTATGTTCTGTCCAAGCTTATGACCTTGTTTGATCATCATATTTAAAATGCATATCTTTTAAATAAAAAGTGGCCTTTAAAAAAGTCCACAGACAAAAATTTTACTAAAAAAAGTTCAACTAAATTACCTTAAAATAATCTGTATTTGGTCTATAAGTACACTCTTAAATAATAAACAATTGTTTACTATTCTTTACAGTGCAATAATAATAAATATCAATTCAAAAGCATTTATTTATTTCTACACGCATTCAATGATAAATAAAAGAATGCTTATGTTTACTTTTAAAAATCTCTTAATAATTAAAATTAAAATAATTTTGCTTATCTTGACTTAATTTTAAAAAAAATTACACTAGATTTGATTTCAATAATTGCACTTAAAAATTCTTGCGATCAACTTTAAAGTGTAAAGAAAACAATCAATATTTGTACTTTCACATTATTATTTGATATAACACATTTACTTGAATAATTGAACTTTCCAAAAAATTTTGACAAAAATTTGATGATGCAACCCAAAGTTCAGGGTGCTTCCAGTTATTAAGTATTTTACTTAATTTTCTAGTGATAAATTTCACTCAAGCTGATGACTTCGCTTAACATAATCAGCATTTATAGTTGATAGTTACAAAGCAATATCATTAAACATTTTTGTGCAACTAATTTTATGAAAATAAAATAAACAAAGTAAATTTGATATAAACTGAGATTGATAGTAAATAACCTATATGCCTATATTACTTTTTAGTTTAAGCTATTGATTTATTAGAAGTTTTTTACCTTCGACTTGAATTAAACAACATAAAGAAGCCTTACTTTCATTTAATTAGTAGGTTAATTCATTATAAAATACATTACTACAAAATAACAGATAATTTATCTTTATCAGATATATAAATAATTAAATTTTCTCTTGGTATTTTCATCTTTTAATATCCTTTCAACAGTGGAATAGTCAGGTATGGTGCTACCCCTTAGTAGTGGAGAATAAACGTGTGAAATTTTTAGAGTATTTTTCCACGTGTTTTTTTCATTATTATTTCAGGAAATGATTCTGTAAACAGTTATGTCTAGTAAACAAAAGTCTTATTTTATTGTTACATAATTCATTTTTTATGTGAATTTTTTTGCGGTAGTTTTAGGCTAGTTTTTGGCAATATACCCCAAAAGAATTTGACATATATATTTGTCCCTCACCACTGCCACATGATCACACTTGACGAATATATTCATCGCTCACTGCTGAGTGGATATCATGTGGCCTTGTAAATCTAGTGCTGCCATATTTAATACCTACAAAACAATGAGTTTGAAGGCTACTACTGTGTGTGTGTATTACAGCTATAAATTAGTAAAAATTGGTTAAGTTTTTTCCCTTTTTTTAAATCACTGTTTTACAAAATAGCATGTATAGATTACTTGAGGATGTCAATTATTCAAGTAAATATGTAAATGTAACAAAAAGAAAAAAATATTAATGACATTATACAATTACCTTCTGAAAAATAATATGCTCGTGTACCATCTTGTCGAACATAAAAATATTTCGCTAGTTTGCGAGCAGGATTAAATCTGAACATAGCTGCATCATATAATCCGTAATCTCTGAAAATCACAATTCCTCCAGGCTTTAAAATCTAATAAAAAAACACATAAATAAAAATTCTATTAATTCAAAATCCAATATTCCATTTATAAACATTCAAATAAAATTATAATCAATCATACCTAAAATTGCTTAAAGCAGAGGTCACATGGTAAATACTTAAAGTTTTACTTTAAATTTATTAACAAAGAAATATTTATCTTTATAAAAATAATCTAGCTACATTCAATATCTATACTATACTAATAATCTAAAAATGATCTGCTATGAAACAAATATTAATAATAACCATTAATTTAAAAATATAATGATTTAATTCTTAGCCACGTTTACAAGAATTTTTCAACATATTAAATGATTAATTAAAAAAACAATGATAGGAAAACATATAAAAACACATTAAACATTAAAATGCAATGAATATAATAATAAAATAAAAATCAAAAAATAAATAAAAATGAGGAAATTGTATATATACAGTACATACATTAAGAAGTGCTGTGGATTATACAGAGTATACAGTGTATGTAAACATAGTTTACAAGTAAATAATATTTTGTTGAATTGTTTTTATATTCTTTTGAATTTATGAATAAATTTGAAGTTTATCTCAATTAATTAACTGTCAAGAAGAGATACACACATTGTCTGATTTAAGACAATGAGAGTTCTAAGATCAACAAACATCTTTAATTGGGATAAAATTTGTTGTCAAATTAATTGTTGATGTCCACTTTTCTCAAGACCCAAGAAGGCACCTAATTTCACTTAGATGAATGGTTGTAAAATCTGTCCTGTACCTAACACTTTCATAAGAAGATTTGATTTTTCAAAAAAAACTCATTTTGAGACATGTTTATATGCCTTTTTTTCTTTATTTTCCTGCAAGGTTTCATCTAGTTATGAAAGAAAACTGAACAAAACAGGGGTTGGCTCTATCTGGCCTAGCATGCACACTTTTTTCATCAGAAGCATGTATGGGAATGTACTGATTTAATGTAGTAACTAACTTTTTCATGTGAACATTGTTTACAGTATTATACTCATGTTTTTTTCCACAAAATTAAACCACAAAACTAGAGAGGTTTAAGGAAAACATCCTGTATAATAAAAGTATTTACATTGCAGTTTACATATATGAAAATATTGTAACTTTAAGTAAGTTGTGTTTAAAAATTTAATAAAGTTCTACATTGACAAGAAAATACTATAGATTATTAAAAAATATAATATTAATGATGATGATTTGGTAAAAAAATAATACAAAGCTTATTGTATCAATACATATAAAAATAATTCTGTATACCTACCTTGATATTAATTTTCAAATATCAAATTTCTTAACATTTAAGAAAATATAAGTGAATTTAATATTATACATAATTATAATTTTTATACTCAATATGATTAAATTGGATAAGATTTATGTAACATTCAGATAATTTCATTTAAAAGCTTTTTCCCTTCTTTTTAATGGGTATTGTTGTTTAATTGTTATTTAGGAAGTGGTTATTATTTTGTCTACATGACAATGCCTGTAAAAGTATGAATAAATAAATAAATAAATAAATAACATATCCAACAGCGAAAAATAGGATTCTAAAACTGAGTATTTCACTTATTGATTTTCATCAAATTTTTTCCAAATAATTGGTATTCAATTAGTTTTAAATCTAAATCAACTAAATATTTTTCTTATTATATTTTATTATTTTATTAAAGTATGGTACAGTATTATACTCATGTTTTTCTTCCCCAAAATTAAACCAAAATTAGGATGTTAAATGTTATAGCAATGTTTGAAAATTTTTATGTAATCAACTAAACATCCTAAATTGGCTTTATACACAATCTGTCCCAAAACTTTCTGAACTTTCATTAAACTCACTCTACTGTATAAATTAATAATCACAAATTTTTATTTACAATTAGTCAAAACACATCTGTTCTGAAGAAATATAATATTTACAATGGTCACAGAGCTTTAGAAAACTCTGGTGAAAGTCTTCCTTTGAGATGGTCAAAATAGTCTTGGTTGAAGCCTTCTAGATGTCCAAAAACTAGTGTTGAATTGCTTTCCTTTCAGCTTCATCTTCAGTTTAGAGACCAAAAATAGTCACATAGTGCCAAATGCAGTGAGTCAATCAAGGACTCAGATTGACTTTGAAGTAAGAAAGTTGTACTTGCCAATGCAGTTGAGCTGTAGCATTGTCTTGGAGAAGTAATCAGACGCCTTGTATTCAGTATTGAGTATGAACCTGATAAATTTTTGTAGCAAAAGCTTCATAATGCCCAAGAAATAATCTCCAGTAACAGTTGGCCTACTGGAACAAACCTTTTTGTACATAATCATCTGTACAAACAGGTTTGTTTGACTGGCTGGTATAGAATCATATATTTCTAATAATAATAATAATAATTATTGTTAAAAATATATAATTCAACTGTCCAATAGCATACTACTGCACTTATCACCTTCAAGTGATTCTCTACTGTCCCTAAACTTCACAAACCACTCATAAACTGATGTATGGAAAAGTGCTTTGTCCCCATAAGCCTTATGTAACATTGCTAATGTTTCTGTGAACTTTTTGCTCAATTTCACACAGAATTTGATGTTTGTTCCTTGCTTCATCAAAATTTTTGTCTAAGTGTCATTCTTAAATTTAAGTCTAAGTGTCACAAAAACTAACACAAAACTTAATGAGTGCCTGCTCAACAGTCTCACGAATACTATAAAAAATTCTTTCTGTCAGAAAAATAAAAGGCTGGAATTACAAGGGAGAGTTTCAAAGTTCAGATGAATACTATTCGATCAGTATATACTGGGTTGAGTGTCAATGTCATTTCTGTGGTAAAGCAACCAACTGCAATAAAACTTACAGAATTTGTGAATAAAACTTTGACAAAGATAATGCAACCTTATTTACACAGATGACACTAGAATCATCTCTTTTATGCTAGGTTGTTAGTCATTTATTTTCAAAAAATATAATTATATTATTTTGAATTTTGGCTCAGGTCACAAAGCAAACTCTAATGATTATGGTGATTAAGATTCAAATACTTGACATTATATTTATACATCACACCAAACAATGTTATGGCCTATCATAAACAAGCAAGATGTAATATCATACTTTTGTACATAATTAATTTATTTACACATTATATTGGTAATGGTTTGTACAGTGTAATTACCCTCCTAAAAACAAACACCCAATAAAACCTAAACTATAAAAAAAAAGTGAAGTCACACCTCAATAAAAAATGATCTCTTAGACAAAGAGGAAAACTAGGTAACAATTTTGATAGGGCCAAAAACATCATTTAGAAATAAGAGCATAAAGCTAACTTATATTTATTGAACAAACATTTTGTAAATAAATATTAAATTTAAGAGTTGGGTGTTCAGCTGTTGATACACATTAGTAAAAGTTAAAAATTAAAGTCAAACAATTGCCAAATCAGGCAATCACTTGGCTTTGATATATAACTATTATGTTTAAGATGTTTATATTTATTAAAAATTAAGTTTACTAATGTTACAAAAGTTACAAGATGATGAAAGGCCAAGTAAGAAACTGACCTCAAAGCATCAAAATAATGCAAAGTTATATGAAGAAAATTATTGTTGAAAGATTAACATTTACTTGTAATATAAGTGAATTTATAAATTATAAAGCAATGAAAGTTAAGATCTACTTGTATGACCATTGTCAACCAAACAAGCTGATGTGTAGAGAGACAATTTCTTAAAAAGGAAAATAATACAGACTAATATTGATATGCAAAACGCACTTGTACTCATTATATCTGCAGACTTGTAATGAAGGTGTATAATAAAAAAAAAAACCAACCTCTTAAACATAAGAAATAAATAAATAATTTGGTAAATTGTTTTTTTATACTTGCACTGTACGAGGGCTGTTTGGAAAGTTCACGGTCTTGCCTATATGCAGTGCTGTGATCAATTTAATTTTTGGCGGGAATAATTCAGCCATCTTTGCTAGAGATATGATACCAATTTCCGCTTGATTTGTCATAAAGTTTTGCCACGACAGCTTAGCAGATAGTCAGTGTGCACATGCTTTGTCAAAAATGGAGAAGACTGAGACTCATGCGGTCATAAAATACCTGACGAAAAATGAGTTGACCCCATCTCAAATCAAAGCTGACATGGATGAAGTTTTGAAGTCTGCTCCTTCGTACACCACTGTGAAAAAATGGACAGCCCTTTTTAAATCTGGCAGAGAGAGTGTGGAAGATGACCCTTGCAGCAGATGGCCGCCAACTGCTGTCACTGAAGAAAATATTGACAAAGTTCACGATTTGGTATTAGCAGATCGGCATTTAAAAACGCATGAGATAGCTGAGACAACAGGCATCTCTGTTGACCGAGTGCACCACATCCTAACCAAAAATTTGGGTATGACAAAGGTCTTAGCAAGGTGGGTGCCGTGTCTGCTGACTGCTGAGCAAAAAGTGTTCGCACTTTGATGTCAAAGGAGTGTTTGGACTTCTACCAGAAAAACCCACAGGATTTCTAGCGTCAGTTTGTGACTACTGACGAAACATGGATCCATTACTACACTCCTGAAACAAAAGAACAGTCAAAGCAATGGAAACACCACAGTTTGCCACCACCAAAGAAGGCAAAGACAGTTCCATCAGTGGGGAAAGTGATGGCCTTGGTTTTTTGGGATGCTAAAGGCATCATCTTTATTGACTACCTAGAAAGAGGAAAGACCATTAATGCTGTCTATTACTGTGAACTTTTGGAAAAGCTGAAGAAAGAAATCGAAGAAAAGAGGCCACACTTGAAGAAGAAAAAGGTTCTGTTCCATCACAATAATGTGCCTGCAAATTCTGCCAGAATCACTGAACAAAAGATAAACGAACTTTGCTTCCAATTAGTTCCACATCCACCGTACTCACCTGATTTGGCCCTGTGACTTCCACCTTTTTCCAAACCTAAAAAAATTCTTGGCTGGAAAGAGATTCCACTCAAATGACGAAGTCATCTCTGAAGTGAACGAGTGTTTTGCACATCTTGACAAATCGACCTATTGTGATGGCATAAAAAAGCTAGAACATTGCTGGAATAAGTGCATTGCTAACAAAGGAGACTACATTGAAAAATAAAAAAAGTTTTAACATTATTTTGTTTGTTGTTCTATTTGAGGCCGCAAACTTTCCGAACAGTCCTCGTAGTATACAAGCAGTTACATCATCTACGAGGGCTGTTCGAAAAGTTCGCGGCCTTGCCTATATGCGGCGCTGCGATCAATTTAATTTTTGGCGGGAATAATTCAGCCATCCTTGCTAAAAATACGATACCAATTTCCGCTTGATTTGTCGTAAAGTTTTGCCACGACAGCTTAGCAGATAGTCAATGTGCACATGCTTTGTCAAAAATGGAGAAGACGGAGACTCGGGCGGTCATAAAATACCTGACGAAAAAAGGGTTGACCGCATCTCAAATCAAAGCTGACATGGATGAAGTTTTGGGAGAGTCTGCTCCTTCGTAAACCACTGTGAAAAAATGGACAGCCCTTTTTAAATCTGGCAGAGAGAGTGTGAAACATGACCCTCGCAGCGGACGGCCGTCAACTGCTGTCACTAAAAAAATATCGACAAAGTTTACGATTTGGTGTTAGCAGATCGCCGTTTGAAAACGCGTGAGATAGCTGAGACAACAGGCATCTCTGTCGACCGAGTGCACCACATCTAACCGAAAATTTGGGTATGACGAAGGTCTCAGCAAGTTGGGTGCCGCATCTGCTGACCGCTGAGCAAAGACGTGTTCGCACTTTGATGTCAAAGAAGTGTTTGGACTTCTACAAGAAAAACCCACGGGATTTCTTGCGTCGGTTTGTGACTACTGACGAAACGTGGATCCATTACTACACTCCTGAAACAAAAGAACAGTCGAAGCAATGGAAACACCACAGTTCGCCACCACCAAAGAAGGCAAAAACAGTTCCATCAGCGGGGAAAGTGATGGCCTCGGTTTTTTGGGGATGCTAAAGGAATCATCTTTATTGACTACCTAGAAAGAGGAAAGACCATCAATGCTGTCTATTACTGTATACTTTTGGAAAAACTGAAGAAAGAAATCGAAGAGGCCACACTTGAAGAAGAAGGTTCTGTTTCACCACGATAATGCCAGAATCACTAAACAAAAAATAAACGAACTTAGCTTCCAATTAGTTCCACATTCACCGTACTCACCTGATTTGGCCCCCAGTGACTTCCACCTTTTTCCAAATTTAAAATAATTCTTGGTTGGAAAGAGATTCTGCTCAAATAACAGTCATCTCTGAAGTAAACGAGTATTTTGCACACCTTGACAAATCGACCTATTGTAATGGCATAAAACAGCTAGAACATCGCTGGAATAAGTGCATTGCTAACAAAGGAGACTACATTGAAAAATAAAAAAAGTTTTAACATTATTTTGTTTGTTGTTCTATTTGAGGCCGCAAACTTTCCGAACAGCCCTCGTAACAGTCATCTTGAGTTTTGAACTTGATTCATGGAAATTCCTGTCATGTTGTTTCTACATGAGTTTACTCTATGGTCTCTATGAAGGTAGTTCATAAACTTTGGGATAGACTATGTATTTTATTTAAGTAAACATAATAAATATTGAATATAGATTTATCAGTTTCTAATTATTTTACATAAAATAATGATTTCAAATCTTACATTTAAAAATTTATAATTGAATTATAGTTAAATTACCTGATATATATTTTTCAATGCATTAGGCATCTTATCTGGATGAATTGCTGATAATACAAAAATCATTGAAACTATATCTACAGAGTTTTCAGTTATAGTATCTTTTAAATTATCTTCAGTTATATCACAGACAAAAGCATGACACACATCATCTTCATAAAGAGGATGCTTCTATGAAATATATTAAACTCACAATAAGTAAATACTTTCAAATAATTAATATTAGAAATATTTAAAATTATAACTTTCAAATGTCAATAAAAAAAACAATATAATATACATTAGAAACACAAATATTAAGAAAATATATTATATATTCAAAGCATATTAAAAATTTACTCATTTTAGCTTATCTATGATAAATAATTTTAAACTGACAATTAAATTCTAAGCTAAATCTGTTATCTATATATATAAAAATGAATGCATGTCTGTCTGTATTTCATGCATTACTACACCATTTATCCGATTGCCATGAAACTTTGGGAAGTTGTTTAATACACTCCTGCAAAGGTTCCTGGCATAGTACATTTATCCTATGATAGATGGTGTGTGTGTATACGAGCATTTCATATATAAAGTTGACATGAAGAGTGCATGTGCATAAGTTTGCTTTATTTGAACTCTTTGTCTTAATGTTCGATTTTATGTTTGAATTTATATTTATGAATGCTTCTGGAAGATCCAGCTTATTTTTCAAATTTAGTAAACCTGAAGAAGAACCCAGAAAGAGTTACAAAAATGTTTATTCATCACTTAATGGTACTATGCACTGGTTAGTGGTTGCAGTGAGTCTTAATTATCGTTATCCTGGTGTGGTAAGCAGATATCTAAAAATTTTTTAATTAGTCTCAGAAGAGAAGGGACATTCTTGTACTCGATAAAACGGGTAAGATCAGCTATAATCTAATAATCTTAATCTTCGCTATCAATTCTTTTTTCCCGAGCAATGCCAGGCTCACCTGCTAGTAAGAATTAAAAGTATGTAGGGAGGAAATCTGATAAGTCTGCAACAGTAGAACAATATGAATATTTTTCTGTATAAAACCATTCAAATATAATTTGTCATTCACATGTGATAACATTACAGATTTTATATTATGTAAATGTTAATATTGTTTATGGTGAAAGAGCAAAAGTAAAAATTAAATTTTATTGCAAATTAGATTAAAACTTAATTGAAAGCTATGAAATTAATAAAATAACTTTGTTGTGATATTCTCTTATATGCATGTTTTTGAATGGACTGTTAAAGATTTTACAATAACTAACTAAAGACAAAAATGACAGAAAAATCTTCAACCCTGTAAATGATTTTAAAAGTTTATAAATTGATTAGTCTAATCATAGAATACAGTGGCCTGTAGTGGGTGATTGGTTAATGAATATAATCTGTTCCAAGACTGTATTCGCTATCCAAATTGTTTGTTAATCGATTATCAATTTACCATAGATTTTTATGGGAATTTGATTAATCTGTTCTGGAGACCCCAAAAATAAAAAATTATAGTAGAGCGTCGTTTATCCAAATCAATTGGGGACTGGGGTTGTTCAGAAAATCGATATTTCGAATAACCGATTATGTACGAAAAAATATATTAATTTATCCCATGTTGAAATTTTTCTCTGTTGTGTGTCGCTTCGCATTGAATTTTCATCGATGTTAAGCCTAATGAAGACTATTGTATCGTTAAAAATTATTTTTTTATTTTGTAAAAACAAAATAAATATATTAAAAAATATAAAAACAATGAAAAATTATACTTCAGAAGTTAATTTAGTATCAAAAACGTAAAATATTTGAGTAGCCCAAGACATAGCCAAAGATTGCAGCGCCACAGCACTGATGAAAATTTAAATTTGCCGACTGGAATTCTTTCGGATAATTGACTTTCAGATAAACAACGCTCTACTGTATATACTTTCTTACTACATTTATTTATATGTAATAATAAAAATACATGTATACACAGTCTTGCATTTTTATCAGTCATGTTTTTTCTGTTTGTGGAGTGTTAAAGAATCTGTCCAATGTTGATTGTTTTTCTCTCTTCTTTAGGATTTTTTGGAAGTAATTAATAGCATTGTTGTTATAGAGATCCCTAAGCCTATTAACCTCAACCTGGTTTGGATGTCATTCTAAGACTGTTGTTCTGACATCCTCCCACTTCTTCAAAAGATCTTTAATAGCAGATATCAGCATTAATCCTCTTTTTCAGAAGAAAACATATTGTGCCGAGTTTCTTGATGTTCTTCATTCAAGAGTTCTTGGCATTCTTTTGTTGTCAGATCAGTTTCAGATTCCATTATGAGCTCTTCAATGTTGTTTATTTCTCAGATGTGATTTTTGTTACTCCTTTAGCTGCTTGAGTCTTGATGATTATACTGTATCTTTCTTAGATAAGATTGAACTGCAGCCTACTGTAGACCTGTTTATGCCTTACTGCCCAGTAACATCAGACATCTTCTGCCCACTCTCTACCTTTGCTATTATACTCTCACCTTTTGAAAATAAAAATTGACGCAAAACTTAACAAGTGCCCATGCGACAGTCTCGCGAATACTATAAAAAATTTCTTTCTGTCATAAAAATAAAAGACTGAAATTACAAGGGAGAGTTTCAAAGTTCAAAGGAATAGTATCCAATCAGTATATACTGGATTGAGCATCAATGTCATGTCTCCTGCACTCTGAAAAGTTTCGAATTGTTGTCTGAAGACAAGGGAAGACCAATTGGTATTCATTATTTTACATCGCTTCTTCTTGTGTTTGTTCTGTGAGGTGTTTGTTGTCTGAACATAAAATTCTTTCGCAAAAGTGTTCATTATCTAATCACCCACTGTATGTCTAAATAATGAAAGAACTCGATATTAATGGAGAAACATTTTGTAAAATTTTGATCTTAGGTAGATTAAAAATATTAATCAATAGGATGACTACCATGCCAAATTAATGTATAATAATGAAATGTCTTCATTTCATTATTATACCATGTGTTATAATAATGAAATGTTGTTTCTACATGAGTTTACTCTATGGTCTCTATGAAGGTAGTTCATAAATTTTTGGGATAGACTATGTATTTTATTTAAGTAAACATAATAAATATTGAATATAGATTTATCAGTTTCTAATTATTTTACATAAAATAATGATTTGAAATCTTACATTTAAAAATTTATAATTGAATTATAGTTAAATTACCTGATATATATTTTTCAATGCATTAGGCATCTTATCTGGATGAATTGCTGATAATACAAAAATCATTGAAACTATATCTACAGAGTTTTCAGTTATAGTATCTTTTAAATTATCTTCAGTTATATCACAGACAAAAGCATGACACACATCATCTTCATAAAGAGGATGCTTCTATGAAATATATTAAACTCACAATAAGTAAATACTTTCAAATAATTAATATTAGAAATATTTAAAATTATAACTTTCAAATGTCAATAAAAAAAACAATATAATATACANATTTCATTATTATACCATGTGTTATAATAATGAAATATCTTCATTTCATTATTATAAAAATATTAGTTTTAATAAATTTAGAATTGGCTACACAAACATTTCATTTTAAGTATTCATTATGGTGCTAAGTGTCATTACTTTTTATAATTATAACATATTAATAATAAAGTAAGAAAATACGAAATAAAAAAATGAATTGAAAGGATTGGTAAAAGAAATAGCATATCCCACATTAGAAAGTTTGAGAAAAAGTAGGCTTTGTATTTGAATTCACCAGCACTTTAATATGCAATGTTTTATTAATGTGAGTATGCAAGTTGTGGGGCTTGCACCTGAACAGCAAAAGTTTCGTTGAAGATGGATCAACAATGCACAAACACAAATCCAAATGTGTTACAACACTTTTTTATCCAAATGTGTTAACAATGTTTTGCCATTTTTTTTCACTAACTCCCTCAATTAATAAAGCAATAAAGCAATGAACCATAAATACAGAATAACAGCAACTCATAGAATACTATGAATGATTTCTTGTGAAAGTAAAATATTTAGAAAACAAATTGCTGAAAATATTTGTTATTTTTTAAAATCAAAACAAATTGATAATATTGATATTTTCATATTATTTATAGTTGAGATGATACGTACAATATTGCTAAAAAAGCAATTCAGATTTTTCATAATATCAACAACATATTTTTAAAATCAGGTTTTGTTGTAATTTTGATTAACTTTATAATTTTATTATTAACTGAAATATAATTAAATATGTACTTGTAATCAAATAAACTGTTAAAATCATTTTTATTGTAGAAAGGAATGTTGCAATAACTCTACAAATGAATTTATTGTAATGTTACCTTTACTAATTCTATCGCCCTTGATGAAAAATCACATGCATAAATAAAATAAGGAACTTTTTCTTCAATTAATGGAAAAATGAAATTTCCTACTCCACATCCTATTTCCAGCATTGTTGGTGTAGGAGATATCTAAAATTAAATATAATTATACACACATTGATAATATGTTACACACAAACGCATACACATGCGCTGTATATATCCTGACATCAATTTCATATTAATAGATAAAATATTTTTTTAAATTAAGAATGTATTTACATTTAATTTATTATTAATTTTACAATAAAAACTTATAGATTTCTTTATTTGTTATTAAGTATTTGATAAAATTTCAAAACTAAAATATCTTTTATTCGTCTAAAATTTAGTAATGAAAAGAAGACATAATATAATAAAAACCAAATTTTTATGCAAGAAATGAATCATGCTTTGATACTCTCTTTCTTTACACACTAATATAGTGTGTAAAGGAAAAAAGAATCAAAGAAACAAAATGTATTTTTGTTATTACAGTAGAACCTCATTTAACAAGGTTTGTATTATCCAAGGAAAACCTATAATCACTTACTGGTTTGCCTGGATAATATGGAACATCTCTGAATACACTACTTTTCTTATACTGTAATTCATAAAAGAATGTTTAGAACAATAACATGTATTACAAAATGAATTATTTCTGTTACCTTTTACCATTTAACTCCAATGTGAGACAAATCATTCAAATTAAGCTGTGGCTATAGTAATACATAAAATTGTTCTTTTTATATATAACTGAATTCAATAAAGTATAAAAACAGATTTAAAAATCACACGAATCTTTTATATTCGTAATTTTTAATCCAAAACAGCCTTGACCATCCATTTTATCCGAGATTTCGGTTATCCAAGACAGCATCGATCTGCATTAAATCAAATATTTGAGATTCTACCATATATTTTTATCGTCTTTGTGTTTTGTATTCTATAGAATAAACATTTAACTATTTAAAATATAGAATAATTTAAGTAGTTTTCCTGATACACTGATAATCTACAGCTCCGATAAAGTCCCAACCACGACATTCAGAGCTACATTTGCATCCATTAATTAACTACAATTGTAACGCTGCAAGTATTTGATGATGTTTGTATCACGTATGAGAAACAGATTATTATGTATATGTACGAATTTTATATTCTAATATTTACACGTACTTTATATTAATTCAAATGTTACAGTATATACCTTGGAAAAATCGAATTCTTTTGTAAATTCTTCGAATTCATTTTTAGTCCAATGTCTATCCTTAAAGAATCGTCCCTCGTTTCTTTTATAAAATAAATCCCAATTCTTTTTGGCTTCATTTTCCAACTTATTTTGATGAAATTTAGAAATTGTGACGTCCTTATTTAATTTTTCAATTTCATCCGGATTTAATGTTTTCGCGTAATGTCCAATTACCAGGTTTTCATCCTCCGAAACTTCAAAATTCATAATTACTTTCCAATAACTTTATAAATTAAAACTTTTCATTAAGGAAAACAAATTAAATACCACGATGAATACAAACAACACACATGGTTTCAAATAGAAATTAAAGAGAAAGAATCACGTTGCCAACTCGTTGTAACGAAAATATAAAATATCAAAATATCTAAAAGATATTATATTTTAATAAAAGTATAACAATTTTATTTATTATTTTTAAAAGTTAGTATTAATATAATTGGAAATTTTATATTATTGTTTACTTTTATATTTATACATTATATTGCTGGGAGTTGCATTTGAAAACGTTAAGACGATTGCCGAGCGTAAAAGTGCAATTCCCGGTTATCGCGTCGAATCGATAGGAATTGGAATGCATTTAAATTAACAAATGCTGCGATTGACGTCTTAAACAATCAAAGAAACAAATGGAAACTAAATATAATAATAAATTTTTCGCAATAGCGAATTGTGCGATTTTGGCACAACTCGATTCGACCCGAAAAAAAAGAAGGACGGTGCCGTAAGCTGGATTTAAGTACTTACGTGTTATAAAATGACGTCGATTTGATGTCATATCTACCCAAAGCTATGCGTAGCATAGATGTGAGGTCATACTGAAATCATTTTTTGCACGCTACAGGATAAACGCTGTAATTTAAACCCAGCTTAATTAAGACTTAAGGTACAAATGTACAGATTAAAATAGCAGATCAAAAATTCATCTTACCAATTGATTGGTGTGATACATTCACGCAATGTCCAGCTAAAGTTCAGCTCAGTGTAAAACTAAGTTTCCTACTAGATCACATACATCACCTAATAATAATACACGGGTGATCCAAGCATCAATGGCGTACGCGCGACGTTTGCACAATGCGTAGTAGAAAATCACATATTTCATCCTATTGAATGTATCGTGAGATCGTCGGTTATCGAAATGCTCTTATTGGTAAATTCCTACGCATGAAAGAGTTTAACGTTGGATCACCTTCACGTTTTAACAAGACCAAATTGATCTATATTGAAAATGCTCTTCGGCACACACATGACGCATTCGGTGACGTAAACTATACTTCGACACGTCACGAGAGTTATGCGCCATCTTACTCAGCGAAAAGTTTCTATCAGTAAATCACTACAGACACACAATGCGATATTTGATCAAATAAAGTGCCTCGTGAAAGCTTCTATGCGATTCGGGTGGTATCAGTTAGTTGCCTGCTAGTCTGTTTCTAGGCTTCAATAACGACGTCTACACTTAAAGTAGCCGGATATAAAAATAAAAACGAAGGAAACGCGTTCACAGAATGAAATTTCTAAGTATATAAATGAGATGCTCTAAACAGGTCCGAACCTTTATTACTATTCACGCTGAAGTTATCTTTTTTAAAAAAAGATAGAAATTACAAATAAGTTTTTTGTATGAAAATGCGACGCGAACTTTTAAACAATAGAAGAATGTAAGTCCAAAGATCGACCATCTCCGGTTGAAGATCGAATTAAACATCGATTTTGATGCTCCCGCATCTAAGCTTCTATCTCGTTACAGTTAATAACGAGTGATCAACTTCTTTGGAAAGCGAGAACGAAGAAAAGCCCCACTCGGAATGAGCGATCGAGGATAGAAATTTATAAAAATCCGAGAATTCAACGACGCGACGGCTTCACCTCCCGAAAGTTCCAAGTGTCGGACAATTTGTTGTGTGTTTCGTGCCCATCATCGTCACCGTCTCCCGTCCTCGAATCGACATCTTCCCATCACCGGAAGTCAACCGCATCATCCCGGAGTCGTCAAAAAAACTGTCATTCGCGAACGCTCCATTTAAGAATATCTTGAAACGGAGAGGAAGACCAAGAGTGGCGACTTAGAACTTCCAAGACGGTTAACGGTTTCTTGAAACCGTAGAGTCTGTCTCAGTGACCATCGCACCCACATACCCTCTGAGCGACGCCCCCGACATTCCCCTCCCCCGTCGGAGCCTTACGTAAAGATCACAATAGGAATGTGGATGCATGATCCTTACAGTGAAACAGAACACAATTTCCAACTGCTTAAAAGACCGGCATCACTGATTTATATGCAGATGTTGATCTTTACGTGTCCAGAACTTGCGCGTCGTTCTGTTTTCTATTAAATATTTATGAAAAAATATTAAGAAATAAGAAAATTTAAGCCACACTGTTGTTCATTAAAGTCAATCATTTTATTTACAACTAAAAATATTTGCCACTTTCACAGAAACCCTCCAGACACTTTCTGGAGAAAACAATAAAAAAACAGTCTAAAATAATCATTGCTATTATCTGTTTACTGATAATTACATATAAATTAAAACTCGGCATGCTTTCACCAAATTAAGCATCGAAATCCGACGTCAGAAGAAACCATACAGTAAATACCCAACTTCAGGATTAACCTTCATATTTATTTTACACAGCAAAATTCAACCAAAACATCTTTTATAAACCGATTTTCATTTTCCAAGTTGACAAATTATGCAAAATATTAATTACGGCCGGAAATGTTTCCTTATTTACGACTTAAACGTCTTCGATTTTCTCGATTTCGTCCACGTCTTCGGCATCCAATGGGCTGATCTTCAGCTCTGAAACAGAAAATCCTTCGCCTTTAGAATTTTAAACTTAGATATTATCTAATTACTAAGTTAGAAATTCAAACTGCAGCAAACCGGTTGCAGAATCGAACTCGCAATTACTTCCTGTTTTAAACTAAATTTTAAACGATGATATTTTTTGAAATTCATTTAACAGCGTAAAAATAAAAATATCCTCGAATATGTGCAAAGTACAGAAATAAAAAGATTTGATTTTCTGCACCATCTTCTCAATGTTGCATTTTAATTCGAACGACAAAACGAATGTAATCATCAGATTTTACTTACTGAAACAGTTTTCAATTTCTTCCAAGATCTTCATCGATCTTTCTCCTTCCGCCATGTTTATGGCAATTCCACATTTTCCGAATCTTCCCGTGCGGCCAATTCTATGAAGGTAGGTCTCGCAATCCGCACTGCCTTTCTGATCGACGGGCAAATCAAAGTTTACCACTAAAGTAACTTGTTCGATATCGATACCTATGGAAACATTCGCATTTTGTTAATGCAACTCTCATTAATTTAACAAAAGAAACAGAAAAGAAAGCTTCCATACCTCTTGCACAAACATTGGTTGTAATAAGGACCTTTTCTTTTCCATCTCTAAACCTGTTGAGAACGGCAATTCGCTGTTCGATCGACAAATCGCCAGATAAAAGGGCAACTGCGTGTCCTTCTCTTGTCATTTTCTCGGCTAGCCAACAAGCAGCACGTCTTGTCTGAAATATTCATTTAAAATATGTAAAGTTTTTACCATAGAAAATTAAACATTTCATCGACATTTTCTCATTTCTTTGCCTCTTATGACAAATATTTGTCTTAATTATAAATAATGCAGTCACGTTCTAAAGCAACTTGTTAAATAACAGCTAAATTCCCTTTTAATTTTTCACCAATTAATCGCTTTAATTTAGTATCCTTTACCGATTTAGAACGTATACATTAATAAATAAATAAATAGAATTTACCTGGCAAAATATAATAGCCTGGCCAATAGATAAAACTCCGTAAATATTTGCTAAGGCAGTGAATTTATCATCGGGATTTCTGCACACCACGTAATACTGTTTGATGTTCTCCAGATTTTCGTCTTCTTTCTTCAGCCGCAAAACAACCGGATTAGGCACAATAATTTTGGCAAAATCCATAACTTCGTCGGTGTAAGTTGCAGAAAACATCATCATCTGGCACTCGGCAGAAAGTTGTCTGTTAAAGAGATAAGCCATTGATTCTCGGATCAATCAATCGCGTAAAATATTTTTAAATATGTCTAGTAATGTTCTAGGTGAGAATGTTTTTAATTTTAGGCGGAAGGATTTCGTTAAAATAACGTAACTTACTTGTGAATTCGGATCGATTGATTGTGACGATTTTGGTTATCGATCAGGATATCCGCTTCATCCAGTACAAACGCCTTAATTTTCTTGACGTCGAAGGATTTGAATTTTAAGACCCAATCTAAAACTTTTCCGGGAGTTCCGATGATAACTTGCTCCGATATCTTTTCACCTCTAGCGACTAAAACAGAAAGTAAGCAATTTTTTACAATGGAGAAAATATCGTGACTCGGAACTGAAAGTAGTGTATGGAAACGATATGTGACCAAACAGTCTCTTGTCACAAGCCACAAGCGACTCTTCTACAACCATACAGTGACAGCCTACTTATGCAATTTCTTTTTGTAAACTTAAACTTTAAATGTATATAATACTGTTTTAATAGTGAGCAGCATACATCGCTCGTATAGAGGAAAACACATGTGTGAAGCACGAATAAGAGGCTGTTTGATGGATCACTACCGAAACAAAGATGATAATTCTAAAATAAGACTTACGTGTTTCTCCTCTGACTGCAAGACGAATTCCAATCTCTGAACAGAATTTAGCCATTTGCTTTGCCACAAATCCGGTCTGCTCTGCTAACTCGTAGGTTGGCGAGAGGATTAAGACCTAATTCCGAAATAAAATTAATTAATGTATAAACGTGTTTCGTATATAAATTAAAATCAACGTAATAAAACAAACTAAAAATGAACTATTTTAAATACGATCAAATATGCAGGATAACCCATAAATGAGTTAACCACGTTTTCTGTTTCATTACAAAGTCTTAAAATATAACACAAGATTAATATATATAGATTTATCTTGCTTTGTAGGGTTCCTTAGATATATTTTTTAGCTTTTCATTTACTTTATTTGAATATAATGCTGATAATCTTCGTGATGTGTCTATTGGATACCATCTTATTAGCCACGTATCACAACTTCTATACTCGTAGCTGGAGTTATAAATAATATTAAAAACAAACAATTAACATAAATTACCTGTGGAAATCTCTTATCCGGATCAACTCGGTTTAAACCCGCCAGCAGAAAAGCGGCCGTTTTCCCCGTTCCACTCTGAGACTGAGCAATCATATTTTGAGGGCTGTTTTATAGCAAAAATATTGGAAAAATATATACTTTATAACTGCAAACTACAGATTTTTAAATAAATCACCAAAGTAAATTTACTTACGGATTCGCAAGTAACGTTGGAAGTGTTGTTTCTTGAATTTTAGATGGCGCATTGAATCCCATTTCGTAAACACCTCTTAGAAGTTCTGGACGCCTACAGATTTTAATAGAAATTTTGTTATTTGCTCATTATTTTATCTAAAAAAATGACAAATTAATTGTAAAAGTAACTATTAAATTTATGGTGAAAAAACATTGAAACTGTTCATTCTTTTCTGTTTACATTTTCCTGCTCGTATTACATTTACGTACACAATATCCAGTAGGCTAAACACTTGGTCATTTTTATACAGTATTTAATTTGAAAAACTCATTCAAAATTACTATTTTAAACTCGAATTTATAGCTAAGTCTATAAGCGATAACAGTTTTCATTAAAGTGTACACTCGATAGATATTTATATATAAATAACACTTACAAGTTTAATTCTTCGAAGGATTTGACCGAATATAAAGGAGAATTTGGATTCTTTCTCTGAACTTCCACATCGTGAGTGCTATGAACTAGTTTTGTATGTAGTATTTTTCTCATTAACGATGCCTCGGCAAGTGGAATTTCTAAATAAAGCATGATAATAATAATAATTCAAAAACACTGCAATTTAAAAGGTAAATTAATAATCTTATTACACGAAGTGATTAAATCAGAATTTTTGCATTAATAACTGAAAAATTGCAAATCCTTAGACAAAAGAAAGGAATTTTATGCATTGATAATTTTTAAGCGTTAACGTTCAAATTGATCATACCAGGTTCGCCGTTTCCCGAAGAGTTTTCAGTTAAATTTTTTTCTGCTATCTCTGCAACAGGCATCACGTCATTTGTAGATTTAATGTTTAGATTTCCAATCTGTAAAATATAATTATAATAGTATAATAATATCAATAATTTTCAATTAATCTTACTAATACTGTATGTCTAAATAAATTTTATAAACTTGTGTAATTATTATACATATATAAAAAGCTTTAAACTTGTAAAAAAGTCTGTTAAATTACTTTTTATCATACAATAATGCATATAGATACAAATATGATAATTTTTATTTGGTTGATTATTATATTAAAGTACTTCAATATAATAGCTTTGATATTAAAAGTTTTACGTAGTGAAATAACAAAATAACACTTAAAGAAAAGAAACACGTCTTTACTCCAACGAGTGTAAGAACAAACTACTGTAAGTTTATTTTATTTAAAGAAAAAAATGGATAGTGTTTACAGTATAAAGACGGACGTTAAATAAAAATACAAAAAGACTATTAATAATAAAACCCTCAAAAGGTTTCCCGAGAGAGAGACGAGACGAGTTACGTCAGGCTTTATCTTTGAATGTTGCATAAGCACGCGTACGTTGTATATTCCATCATTAAATCCTGTCAAATTAGTAAATACAGTAGTAGTTTTGACAAGCCGAATATCTATTTCATTAACTACTGACTGATTTCTTACGTTTTCTCTAAAATAACGTTTGGAATTTCGATCTAGAATTTTCTAATACGTAAATAAAATTAATTTTTTATTTAAAAATACTAATGCTAGAGATTTAAAACTTATCGAGTCTATAAGATTCATCCGCCCGTCATTTTTGTGAATAAAAAAAGGAATGAAATGTTTTATTAAACTGAAATAATCGTCATTTCTTAATGTAAATCCATAGGCCACGCGATGACAGTCGACAGAACATGGCGGCCATGACTCGTGTCGCTACTCGGCTTGACTAGGCTTGAGCACTTACCTTTTGTGATAGGCCGTTATCCTGCTCGGCGGCCGATAGAGCCCAATCTGCCATCTTCCGATCGATATTTTGCTCCTAAATAACAGATTAAAATCCTAAAGAACTTTTTCAATCGCAAGGACAACTATCGAATGAACTCCGTAGAACTGTGTCACAAACGTCACTCTAAAGAAACGTCGCCACTGCTGTTAAAACACAAATGAAATGCTTTAACTAACGAATCACGTGATGTGTGCAGATGTTGAAAGTGATTCCTTTGTTTCAAAAATGTCAATCAAAGGTTTACTAATCCTGTCACTGGCAAGGACACCTGCAGCTAAGATCCATTAAGATAATTGCTTAGCGGCTTCAACAATAGCGAGCCGTTCAGGTTCGTCATCTTCCGTCATTAACCCGAATTATATCGGGCAACTTAAGGAGGCTATACACGATGGGTTAATCCTCAAAGGAGTAACCATGCATGCCTGATTTTGAGTCATTCCTGGAAGTGTGTGGGGGAAAATTTAACAGTTTCGGCGAACTGTACCGACTACCTATAAAATTTAATCCATGAATTTATTTGGTAGTAAAATCGACTTGCCATTGATCTTTCGCTGATAATTGATTCTTTTTAACATAATCTATAGCCCAAGATTTCTCTTGAAATAATTTTGTGATCTGAAATAATTCCATTAAAAAATTATTCATATGAAAAATTAATTTTGCGATCAGTGCTACCCAAACCACTACTACTACTATTTACACCATAGACTTCTATGCATACTTTTTTCCCGCGAGTTTTAATAGAATTTGTTGCCAATAAACATCAGTGGCGTAATAATAAACACAATGGAGTAGCGAACGTAACTGCACCTGGGCCGCGACACTATATTGGCGCCCCCTCCCCCTCCCCCTCCAGAAACAAATTTTGTTTTTCTTGGAAATCATTTGGCTCCCCTCTGCCAGTGGCGCCCGGGGCAAACTGCCCCACCCTCTGCTGAGAGGTTTTCTTCGTTTGTGAACGATAGGAAATTCTGAAGTTCCTCAAGGCCAGGCAGCCTCAAAGGATTAACCCAGGGGTGGCCAACATGAGGCCCGCGGAGCTAGGTCAAATGAACATAAATGTTAACTTTATTGTTCATATCACCAAATGAACATTAGAAGAGTTAAGAAGGTTTGGAAGAAATCACTCGTTATTAACTGTAACGAGATAGAAGCTTAGATGCGGGAGCATCAAAATCGATGTTTAATTCGATCTTCAACCGGAGATGGTCGATCTTAAAACTTACATTCTTTTATTGTTTAAACGTTCGCGTCGCATTTTCATACAAAAAACTTATTTCTAACTTCTAGACTATTATTTTCTGAAAAAGATAATTTTAGCGTGAATATTAATTAATGAAGGTTTGGACCTGTTTAGAGCATCTCATTTAAATACTTAGAAATTTTTACTACGCATTGTGCAAACGTCACGCATACGCCATTGATGCTTGGATTATCCATGTATTATTATTAGGTGATGTAAGCGATCCAGTAGGAAATTTAGTTTTACACTAAACTGAACGTAACAGTCGTATCTAGATGCTAACATGTACCTGAAAACCCAAATAAGGGCAAGTAATTCCAACTCTAAATAAAATGTATGCATTGTGGAAGAGGGGAGTTATTAGTTGATTCCAAGCTGATATATGTTTTTATTGGTATATTTGTTTTTATAACTTTGTATTTATAAAATAACTCAACTTTTAGAACTCAAAACAATTTTTATTGTTGAAAATAATTATTATAAAATTATATTAATTGTACTCTCTACATATTCTAACAATACAACGTTTCTCTTTCGATATATGTCTAGGGCAAATGTATTTTAAGCACTTCTTACAAGATTTTATATATTTTCTGTCTTCTGATTTTGGACATAGAACACATCTCTTTTTTAAGGAATACTTTTAGTAGTATTTCTTGTTGCTCTTTCTTTTGATTCCGTTTGAACTGTCCCTCTTAATTAAAATTGCTCCCATTTGATTGCATTCAAAGCCAAAAACTTTTAATGCTGATACTGAACTGCTATGTAAACCTTGGAAATGTTCAGATCTGTATTTCATGTTGATCTGGCACAATAATTTGCCCAGACTCTTAAAAAAACCTTTCGACCTGATTCACGTGTTCGGATATTTTTTGGCCCAAGTTTCGTTTGCCTCGCAATAAAGCACATGTGAATTATAAGCAACTAGATCGATCTAATGAAAAAACACAACCATTGGTCGTCATCTTGTCCTACGCCGACAGCTATATGTTCTAATACATTTGTCAAGTGTATAAACATCTGCTTTGGTTGAATTATAATAATAAATAATTTCCGGTTTCTCAATAAATACACTAAATACACTTTATAGTTACTACTATAGTCAGTATTACAATTTCTCAAATCAAAATAATATAATATTTACACAGGAGCAACAATCCATCGCGCAGCATCAAATTTTTTTTTATAGCAATCACTGTAATTACTGTATTTTTGTCATAGTCCAAAGTATTCACAAACCGTAGGGGATAAAAGTAAAAAAAATTCGAATTCCAAAATTAATATTTGTCTATAATATAAACAAAAATATGAGCTGGGGTCACAATATAGCCCCCTCATCTGCATGCGACTGTTAAGATAGACATTGCGTGAAGGTATCACACGAGTCATTTGGAAAGATGAATTTTGTGATTTTAATCTGTACATTTGAATTTTAAATATCAACAATTATGACGATGTTTTTGAGCAAACAAATGAATGTAATTTTAACTTCAAAATAAGTCCACATGCGAAGGCATACTGCAATCAAGTATGAAAATGCTTTCCTTAGTTTACTTGTTTTTATCGTATCTTTGAGACATTGTATGACACACCGATTGCCAATAATTCTCTCGTCAATTTCAATATAAAAGTTACAGGGATATGGCCAGACTCCAAGTTTCGTTCGGCTCCCCGGTTCGAACGAAACTTGGTGAGTAGCGTAACACAAGCAGCTCTTTATCCAAATAATAGGAGCCACTTTTCAAGCGTTTCTGAAAAATGGGCCTCTGAAAATTGACGGTTTAGCTTATGTCTTTGGAAGTTTCGCTTATCTTCATAGTGGCGATAGTCGAGTGGATAGGACATTACGGCTACGCGATGTAGGTTCGAACATTTGCGATTTAAACTCTCTGGGCTCCGTTGCACGTTTATAATTATTACAAGCTTTAGGAGTTACAATGCGTGTTGAATAAAATGTATTGTAACAACTTACAAGCTACTAGTCATAAGCAATTTTGATTGTTACAAAGTTATAATCGGTAACAAGCTGCAAGTATTACATGTCTTGTAACTTGTAATTTTTATGCAGCAAGTCCTGTGATGCTGTGTATATCTAAGAGTTTAAGTATGGAGGATAATTTAGCAATGTAGATTTTTTTTCTTCAGAAAATAAAGAATTATTTTAATTTTACGAAATTTCTCTTTTATTCAAACATAACAGACTACATATCAGATAATAAAATAATTTATATTACACGTTTAATGGCCAAATCTGTTCTTTTTTTCGTCTTTTAATGTATTTTTTGCAATTTTCGAATCTTATTTATGGAAACTGTTTGTTGAAATTATTTAAAAGTTTTGATGTGAATCGACATTATAGATTAAATAGATGTTTTTATTTGTAGCGATCTGTAAAGAATTTATGTTATTATTCTTTATATTTAATATTATTCGACTTAACTTTTACACCATTTAACATCAGTTTTATTCATCCAGCCTCTTTAATTTTATGATTTAATAATTACAAATTTCTTTGTAAAAGATTATCCAACGGGTTTTAAGATTCTATATGATGTAATTTATTCTATTTCCTTCTTTTCTACCTTTTCGGTGTTTTTAGGGACGTTTTTGTTAAATCGGAATTGGTAATATCGTGTTTAACAGAAACTGTACTGAAAGAAATGAAATTATACACGTGGAATTATTTAAATGAATTATTTCAAAATTTATTACTAAGCTAAATGCATGTAATATTTGAATAAATATACATGTATTTACTATATTCGTAGACAATTCCGTGTTTCTATTTAATTCAATTCATTAAAATTTATTAATTTATTGCTTCATTGTTTCCTGAGAATAGTAAACATGGAATTACTTATCAATTTTTTACTTTCCTGGCTGTTATATATAACAGAGGGAAAGTATGGCGATCCGGCAAAAAAAGGCCTCTCCAGAATTGTACATTTTTGGACTCGGAAAATTCTGAAACTTCGAGAAATGCAAAAGAATTCGGAAGTAATTTATGTGTATGGATGTTGTTGTGTGTGAAGGGGCACGATTTGTTCACCCTATTTATAACTCCTGTGCATTTTGTGCCGAAAATTTCTGAAATTTTGCAGGGAAATTCGTGTGTTAAGGTGATTGATGCTATTAAATTTTGGTGGTTAAAGATCAAAGGAGTAAGGAGATAATGGAAGTCGTGTATATCTCCGCTAGGGTCGGACTTAACTCGTTGCTGGTTCATTGAATATATTGATGCTAAAGCTCCGTGTAATCAAAAGTATATGAATGGTGTTCCGCGGCCTCAGAAAGATGAAACCTTTGTGATAGACTAAGATTTAGAATACGTGCAGTTATAATCATTTTTACTCCATTGTTAAAATTTAATTGTGACGAACAACGGCATTGTTATTCCAACAAGCATCTCGGAATTGTAGGTCTAGTGTAGTTTACGGCTATAGAGACCATTGATCTGTACAGTAAAATTTGTATTTGGCAAAGGATGTCGCGTAACAACGTCACAAACAGAAAAAAGGAAGATTTCTTTGCAGACGTTGAGGAGAATGGAAATCTTCAAGACGATTCTTCCATTAACGGAAAGACCTCTCATAGCCTGCATTTCATTTTAAATCGAACAGATTTAGATAAGAAAATCAGGGAATTTCACGAAGCTATTCGGAGTAATAACGTAGAGCAGGTACGAAGATCTTTGGAGGCAGGGATAAATCCCAATGCTCAAGACATGGCTACGGGAAAATTGCCCTTAATCGAAGCGACTAATTTGGGGCATGAGGAAATCGTCAAGGCTTTGCACCAATATCCAGGGTATGACGGCTCTTCATGTGTCTGTTAAACCGAAAGTTTTTAATAAGGAAATAGTACAGTTATTTCTGGAACGAAGAAATGCAAATTACAACGTACAAGATAAAGTGACCGAAAGCACACCCATGCATATTTTATGTAAAGTTTGTACATTGGTGAAGAATATCCCTGCATCTATGTTGCATGGTATACTAACAGAGATGGTATCGAGATGCAATTTAGAATTAAAAGATAAATTAGGAAACACGCCTCTTCATATATTGGCCATGGGGAAAAAAGAAGACGTGGAAGCTATAGAGATTGTTCTTTCAGCTAGACCTAATATTAACATAAAAAATAATTTAGGAGAAATTCCCGTAGCCACCGCAATAGATCACGGAAACTTTCTCTCGGCTCTGGCTATGTTAAAATGCCAAATAGATACAAATGTTAGAGATGAAAGCCAATACACTTTGCTTCATTATGCAGCCAAGAAAAATGCCAGCGAAGTGATAAAAAAATTGTTAGAAAAAGGATGCGATCCAAACGCTCAAGATATAGACGGTGACACTGCATTGCATATTGCCGCCGGAAGAGGTTTCGCAGAGGCAACGCTCGCCTTGCTGAAATATCCGAAAGTGGACAGAAATATGCAGAATTTTGGGGGTTACACTCCTTTGATGTGTGCGGTTGATAGCGGTTTCTTGAAAGTAGTAGAACTGTTAACAGCAGCCAACTGTGATATACACGCTAAGTCTCCAGAGACCAACGAAACAGCCTTGGATATCGCTAAAAAACTACTTATAAAAAGAAACAGAAGAGATATCTACGATTTTCTGATGGATGGAAAATATTAAAATTCGAAATTATATATATTTTAAATTCTTAATTTATTTTTTAAAATAAATACTAAATTGATATGAAAATTAAGTTGTTATTCATATCATGTGTACTCAGCAGAGAGAGAATACAATCTTACTACAACATCCGAGCTTTTTGCTCAGAGAGAGATTGTATTTTTTCCTAATTGTTTACTCTGGGAAGAAACCATACCATTCACAGCCGAATATCAAACGGTAATCTGCCAACCAATCAAATTCCGCGAAAAATGGACCAAATATTTTAATTCGACACTCTCGAAAAACACTTAAATCATATTTTGTGCAGGCCGGTAACCTGGTATGTAATTTTCCTATTCGAATACCATCATACCACTGGTCGGTTAGAAAGAACAGGCTGTTGCAGAAGGGAGTCGAAGTAAATTCGATTAAAAGTAGTCGTTGACTTCTTCCCGGAATAGAGGACGATCAACGACTACTAATTAATACCGGTATACTTTTAATATTTGAAAAGTGACCCGCGTTAGACAGGTTGTAACGGCTTCCCCAGATGATCGAAGTTGCTAACCTAAACGTCTAAAAGACTTCATACTACTGGTTTAAATATAAAAATGCCAGAATAATTGCTTTTATGTGATATTAAAGTGTTTATGTTTTTTCAACAGATTGTATAAACTACGTGGAAAATATGTTCTCGTAAATATGGTGTGTATAGAAATATTATTGGGCCTCAATTTGAAAAACATTGTAGACCTATAAATTCCTACTGTCTGTTCTTCTTTATTCTCCAGGAAGGAGATAGATAGGTGAAAGTTGAGACTGAATATGGAAAGCTTCGGGGCAGGAGGCGTAGATTAACTATATGCAAATCTCCGAATTAAATTGGAAGCCATGTTACTTCGATTCAAAATTTTCTTCTGAACAAAGATTGTAGATGACCAGCACGACTCTATTGCTAACAGGAAAAATATAATGTACTGTACAGGAGCAAGACACCCCTAAAAGAATTATATTCTTTTTTTGTAAGAATTATATTTAGTTTATTATTTTCTTAAATTTTTGCCAATAGATGGCGTTACGTGTAAAACCAGCAAATCGAATGTGTAGATAGAAATTAATTAATTTACAGATGTCCAATCGATATTTTGGGGGTGGGATTATGACATTGTATGAGTCAGAAGAACATGAACGTAACTGCCGAGTTTCGAAATAATTGGTCGAACGGTCTAAGAGTGTATAGCAAACAAACAAACAAACGTCCTCATTTATATATATACAGTAGAACCTCGATTATCCGGACTAATTGGGGATGAAGGTAGTCCGGATAAGGAAAAATCCGGATAATCGAAACAAATACTTTAATTTGTCTTTTAATGATAATACAACACGTTTTCTTTTCGATGACATATCGGTAATATTAAAAGTAAATACTGTATTTAAATCGTGAT